AGAACAAGAAGAAAGGAGGAAGAGGAAGAAGAAGAGGAAGAAGAAGAAGAGGAGGAGGAGGAGAAGAACAAGAAGAACAAGAAGAAAGGAGGAGGAGGAAGAGGAAGAAGAAGAGGAGGAGGAGGTAGCGGAGGGTTCTGCTGGGCCCTTTTGACCAGGGCTGCAATATGAGCACCCCAGGTCACATCCTCTTTTAAGGTAACACCCAGAAATTTAAAACTAGCCACTTGCTCCACTCGGTCTCCATTCATAAGCAAGGGCTGGAATTTGAAATCTACCTCTATTCAGAAGTTGCCCAGAAGAACGGCTGACTTGTTAAGGAAAATAGCTCAAGTGGCTTCCAAATTTTAGCACCTGACTCGTCCGTCAAAGCGGGGTTTGTCTTTCGAAGAACTCCTCCATCCATGGAACTAAGACAATCCAAGTCACTCGGCCAGAATTACTCCGCTTTGTCTAAAATTACCTGGAGTAACCTGATCTTTTTTCTAAGTTTCCAAGTCGTTTCACCTGGCCTGTTCTGCAATTGGCATCCCTGGTACGTCAGGAGTATATCCATTCTCCCCGCAAGGTGCCAAAGTCATCCTCTCGCTTCCTCACTTGGCTCGTCCCCAGGAAGGGACAATGGCAATAAATTTTAAGTACTAACTCCAGGCACAGAGCTAATCAATAATGTACGTGTGTGTGTGTGTGTGTGTGTGTGTTTGCTGTTGTTGTTTTTGTCTCCAAGTGTTACCCGATTCCCTCGAGAGGGATACGATGCTAACTTATGCAAACAGCTGCATTTTACGATCTTTGCTCACCCTGGTGCAGTTAAAACGGAGAAGATTTTCCTGGTGAAATCATAGTGAAATTGGCTTTTTTTTTTACCCTCTGGACACACTGGGCGCGCATTAAAAAAAATGAAATTCTGACGCTCTTTAGTTGGCATTAAGCCAAGGAAGTTTGCGCGATATTTTAAGCATCAGAAGCTGAAAATAAATAATTCGGGGAACAGGTTGCTTTGTTGTTTTGAAAGTTATAATTTAAGGATGAGGTCTGGTTTGCTGGCAAAATAACGGAAGGGAACATCCTGAGCACAATACTGCCTCTGTTTTGAGGCAGGTTTATCTCGTGTCATGTTGTGTTTCGTGTCTAGGTGTGTGTCCCAGATGATCACAGCGCTACCCCAGGAAGAGCCATTAACAAGCAGGCCTTCGAAGGACTAATAACTGGAGTGCTCAGGATCTTGGCTGTAGTGTTTGAGTCTCTGATATCCAACCTACCCAACGCCAGTAACCAAATTTGTGCACCAAAATTGATTCAAGATACGAAAAACAAGACCTCCCAAGCGGAAATTTTTAACAATAGGATACAAGACCTTATCAGGTAAGAGACCTATCAGATGTTCCTATTGTGTATTTTCATCCCAATCTTGATTGTGCCTTCTGGAAGGGTTGGGACTACAGGCCCCATAATTCCACTGGTCAAGCAGTTTTGGTCTTCTTGAGTTATTGTCCCAACTCGTTTGGAAAGTGCCGCTATTTTAAAGATCATTTAATCCTGCTTGTATGGTTTTTATAAGTAACTCAAAGGGGCAAATATACCTAACGCTCCTTCCTCTTCCTCTTTTCCCCTCAATGACAACCAGGTGAGGTGGATTTGGGCTGAGAGAGAGGGACTGGCCCAAAGACACCCAACCAGCTTTTGTGCCTAAGGCAGAACTAGAACTCCCAGGCTCCTGGTTTCTAGCCTGGTGCCTTCCACCACTACAGCACACTGGTTTTCTAAACTGAATTACCGTGAATATGTTTGTATGCACACATGGGAATGAATGAAAGGCCCAATGGATGGATGGATGAAGGAATGAGTGAATGGCTGAATGAATTAATGAATGAACAAGAGCCAGCGGTGGTGATTTAAAATGCTAGACTAGGGAGTTCTATTCCTCCCTAAGTCAGGGAAACTGACTGGGTGACTTTTGGGCCAGTCGCCTTCTTTCACTGGGAGTTTGAACAACTTCTCTCTCTCTCAGCGTTCTCTCGAACAGCATAGTAGGTTATATAGTCTATTGCCTTAAATAAAAAGGCCTTCATCTTGCAATGGATTGATTTGGGAGGAAGAAGAGGTGATGGTGGAGGAGAAGGAGATGAAGAAGAAGGTGATGGAGGAGGAGGAGGAGGAGGTGGTGATGGAGGAGGAGGGGATGAAGGGGATGGGGGAGGAGGGGATGAAGGGGATGGGGGAGGAGGAGGAGGAGGAGGAAGAGGGAGGAGAAGATGGAGATGGAGGAGGAGAAGGGGATGAAGAAGAAGGGGATGGAGAAGGAGGAGGAGGAAGAGGGAGGAGAAGATGGAGATGGAGGAGGAGAAGGGGATAAAGAAGGGGATGGAGGAGGAGGAGGGGATGAAGAAGAAGGGGATGGAGAAGGAGGAGGAGGAAGAGGGAGGAGGAGATGGAGATGGAGGAGGCCATGAAGAAGAAGGTGATGGAGGAGAAGGAAGAAGGAGGAGGAGGAGGAGGGGGATGAAGAAGGTGATGGAGGAGGAGGAGGGGATGGAGAAGGAGGAGGAGGAAGAGGGAGGAGGAGATGGAGATGGAGGAGGAGGAGGGGATGAAGAAGAAGGGGATGGAGAAGGAGGAGGAGGAAGAGGGAGGAGGAGATGGAGATGGAGGAGGCCATGAAGAAGAAGGGGATGGAGGAGAAGGAAGGAGGAGGAGGAGGAGGAGGAGGGGGATGAAGAAGAAGGGGGTGATGATGATCTTGGTGACGAGGATGGGAAATGAACGGGGCCAAGAGTGATCCTCAGAGCAAGTATACAACCCGCATTTCTTTCTCCTCTCTCCGTCCTCTAGCTACGCGGTGAACATCGGCTTAATCGAGAAGCTGAGCTGCTGCTTCCTCTCGATCCAAGGCCCGATTGACGAAACCCCCAAAACGGCGGCCTTCTTGCAGAGCTGCACCGCCGCCCTGCATGGGATGTGTCAGCTGTGCTTCGCAGTCAACGGCAGGCAAGTGTTGCGGCCGTCGTTTTCGCCGGTCCCTTGATCAGGCGATGCTGCACTTTTGGCAAGCCCCCGGCGGTCCTGGGTCCTAACCCCGAAACCCGACCCCTTTCAGCCACTGCAAAAATATCTGCCTTGAAAAAAACATGTCTGGAAGAGACCGAGGCCTCCCAGTGTCGACTCCTGAAATATTTCTACGGCCTTTTGAGAGTCGCCAACGGGAAGGGAGGGGGGGAAAGGGGGGTTTGAAAGAGCAGTGCGGCAGCTTGGAAATCGAAAGCGCGTGCCATGCATAGTTTTCAAAGATAGCAACTAGGTGACGGAAGTTTCTCTAACTGGAGAGCATGACTGATGACTCTGGGCTAGGGACGTGTCCCATTGGAGGATATGAATTGGGATATTCCCCCAGGGGGCGGGGGGAAAAACCAGGGTCAAGGGTGACCATGAATGGTGTCTCTCAAGAGTCAGCTACGCCTCGGTTGTACTGGCATATGAACTCCCAATAAACCCTGTTTAGTTTTGGAAGTTTGGCCCGAGATTCAGGATTCGAATGGGGGGGAAACTGCTGGAACCCTGGCAGGTGCTTCTGCCCCAGGCGGCCTGGCCAAGACCAAAATGATAGGGAAAAAAAGACCCCAGACCAGCCCTTTTTTGGCAACCTTGGCAGCTATACGATGGGTGGACTTCAACTACCAGAATTCCCCAGCCAGCCTCAAGAATGGTTGAAGTCAGAAGCCGGCCGGGAAAGTCACAAACGTTGATCACATGACACACACACACACACACACCAGGACTTTGCAAACATGATAAATATATGCCAGTTGCCAAACGCCCGGATTTTGGCGGTATGAATGCTGTAGGTTCAATCCTGTTTCCTTGGTGTATTTTTTAAAAAAAATTACATCACAACCTGACCGCCAAACAGCGACAGGGCTTGGCGGGTGAGACGGAGCAGCGTATAAATTCAATCAGTCAATAAAACGCAAGTGACCCGGTGCTTTTTCCTTTGGTCAGGTCCGGGTTGAGCATCTTCGCCGGGACCCACCAGGATCCCACCGGGCTGACAGCGGCTTTCAAGGCCACGGATCTGGTGGGCATTTTGCACATGCTCTACTGCGTTCTCTTCCACGGCACCCTAGTGGAACCCAGCGTGGGCAGCCCGAAGGAGAGCTTCGCGGCAAACACCCTGAAAGTGGCTCTCCAGAGTTTGCGCTTCTTCAATAGTTTTGCTGT